TGGGACGTCCTCCTGGCGTGAAAGGCGCTATATAGATGTAATTTTGTTGTTGTTGTTGTTGTAGTGGCTAAAAGCATGTTGGTCTCTGTCATTAATTTGTTAAATAATATTTCAAATTATATTTGCGATGTTTATATAAATGTGAAACATGTGATCAATATCATATGAGGGGAGCTGGTTGTGACTACCTTTGAGGAGGATCCTTGCTCAAGGAGGAGAAACAAAAGACTCTTTATAAACAACAAACTATTTTCATTCCAGATCAGCCATTTTCTCTTGGAAAAATGGTCTGCAGCTTGAGAGAGCTGTGTTGTATTTTTTTACAAAGGAACCATCTGCAAAAGACAACTCTAACGAGCTGTAGAAACGGAGCTGTAGAAACGGAGATCAATTCGGAAGAAAGAATTGAAGGAGAGGCATTGAATTTGACGTGCCATGACACCAGGATGTGATATATTCTTTTAATTACTTTATAACTATTACTAATCTGAATTAATAAACATCTATATTTTTGTACGTTTGTGTCAATCCTTCACCACAGGGTCACAAATTTAAATTAATCCTTACAAGCACAACGTCTACGGTGGAGAGGAGGGTGTGAGGGATGAGCAGGAGGCCGGTGCTGGTCGAGCGGAGGTGCCAGGTGATGGACTGGGGAGCGAGGAGGTCAGAAAGGGAGGGAGGGAGGTGCCAGGGAGTGAAGGGATTTGAACACGATTTGAGGATCTTGAAGTCGATCTGTTCGGTGATGGGGAGCCAGTGGAGCCTGGGCCAGAACTGGGGAGTTACATTGCCATGAGGGAGCTTAAAGATAAGGAAAAGAAGAGGGACAAGGATGGAGCCCTGGGGTACTCCGCAGGTGACCGGGCACGAGGAGAAACTATTTGCTGAGATGAAACGGAGGCGGTTGATTAAGTTGGATACCTCAAAGACGTGAGAGGGCACTATATCAAATGCAAGGATTATTATTATTATTATAAGTGTGCAGGTCTCTATTATTATGTAAAAAAGTACCAACTATGGTGCTTTTAGCTGTTATAATACAATGCAATGCAATCAGACACCAGCAGAGGGGGAGGTTAATGCTTTGGGCCCTGTCCCTTTATTTAAGCAATATGTCCTTCTCCAGCCACGTCAGGGTGGTCCGCGGCGATAGGAAATTAATATGTGCCTTTTGCCACCATAGAGTAACACAGCGCCACCCCCGCCCCTCTCCCCCTGGGTGGGGGAAATGCAAACCGTAGACTCTTGGCACTTTGACAGCTGTGAGAGAGAGAGAGAGAGAGTCACTGTATTTTTCCCTGGGGCCACTCTCACAAGCCTCCTAAACACAAGACACATGCACACCCACACACACACAGACACGCGTGCACAGGTTCAGTGGCCACTTCCGGGATTGAATGTCTAAAAGCAGAGCTTAAAATAACAATAATAATAACCTTGTATTTGATGCAGTCCCTTATCAAACGTTCGAGACGTCTCAAAGCGCTTCACAGAATACACTGTAAAGTAAATTAACTATATTTTGTGAGTGAAATTTATCAGCCAATTGTACACAGCAACTTCCCACACACAGATGAGTGATTGAGTGATCAAATGTTTATTTTTAAAAATAAAATGTTGTTCTCTCTCTCGCGTCCCCCCCACCACCACTCCCCCACCTACACGCACATTTTCGTTATTTCTCTCTTTCCCTCTAGGATTATCTAATTTTCTCCCTTTATTTCTGTTACCCTTTTCTGTCTTGTTTTTCACTTCCTCTTTTCCTTTCTCACACTTTGTCCTTCTCTCACCCTTTCCTTCTCTCTCTGTGGCAAGAACATTGTAGAGCAACAGGTATTGAGTTCTCCCAGTCACTGCTCACAGGCTAACAGTTGTTTCCCAGGGAGAAGGCAATGTGTTTTGGGAGGTGACCATAGGCACGGTCAAAGTGGAAGGCTCAATCTCTTTATGTGGATGTCAAGGATCAAATCAAGTCTCTGTGGCGGTCTCGGTAGTGCAGTTCCTTAGCTAGGTGGGTCCACAGTACTCCAGGGCACTGCTGATGACAGATCCACCAGCCTGGCTCATCTTAAGACTTGGAAGGTCAGGGATTCTTCCCATTCAACTTCATTTAGCTACAAGCCAAAACCCTAATGGTCCTAGCTAGACAAGCAGTGGAAAGCTTGCCAGACTGCTTTCAATGGCAAGCTATGTGTTTTTTAGCTGGTTAGACTCCAGTAGTTACCCCCAACACACACTATAGGGTCCCCAAGCCTTGGCTCTTGCCAACCTGTGCCTAATACTTTCTGGATTTAGATAAGCAGACAGCTGGGAGAGAACTTACATTCCATTCCAAATACAGGAGTTTCTCAATTTAGTTTGGAAACTCTTAAGCATAGAGATGGGTTTCTGCATGTGTCAGACACCCGACTGATCAAACAAATGTCGATACCCCACAACATTGTTAGAAAGGTCAAGGTAGTTTACGCAGTATCCTAGTGAAAATAATGGCTGTTTGTGGGACCATTCTGTGTACAAAATATTTCAGTAAATGGCATATTTGACTAAAAATGTCACTACACTTATAGCAATTACTTGTGAAGTGTTTTCAGTTGTTTCAACAATATGGATGCAATATCAAATGAAAGGACTATTAATATTAACAGAAATCCATGGAAAATTACCTTATTTATTTCAATAAAATTGCTTTGGATCAAGAGTCTTTGCATTACTTCAGAGTTGCCGGGTCAGAACTATTTAATGTCAACGTAATCTAAGCAGTCACCGCTCTTTGGGCTGTTCACTAGGCTCTGGACGTATTTTGTTGCTACATTTCACTTGGAGGAAGTGGCTGGTTGTTTTCACTGATCAGATAGGTTCCAACAGGAAGTGGGTTCATTGCCAGTCAGCTAGCCAGCTCCTCCATTCCAAAATACTGAGGACCAGGGCTATTCACACCGAAAGCTTCTGTAATATCAGCCCTTTGGCTGCAAGTTGTGCTTTACACCTTGCTAAAATTGGTATTTTTTTACAAATCAAAATGATTTACTTTACAAAAAAAGTGACGTTGATTTTGCTTATTGGCAATGATTCACATTAATAAAATTTCTTTCAATATGAATATCGGCAGGTGGTATGTAATCCAGGAGTGTCACACTGGGCCCGAGGACAACTAACTCATTGTTTTCAATAAAGACAAGTGATGGACCAATAACATGCAAAATGCATGTGTTTCTCTTGCTCTCGGACGCTGGGGGAGAAGAGCAGAGAGAGAGAGAACCACCTCCTGATCCCAACTTCCAGCTCTTGCCATTTAAGATTAAGCAGAATTGTGTTGAATATACTCAAAATTGGCTTCATTTTGGGAGTTTTTTTAACAAACTTCAATTTGATGGAATTTAGAAGCTTTTGGTTGTTCTCCTGTTGTGAAAGGCGCTGTACAAATGTAATTTTCTGTTGTTGTTGTTTTTGTAGTTCCTAACACTGCCCTTCAGGTCTCAGGCAGTAACACCAGCAATGTCAATGCTGTGCAATGTCTTACCAATAGGTGGCGCAGTACTCATTCTAAATCCCGGTGTATCTTTACAACCAGCAATTAATTAACAACTGTTAATAACTGATAGTCACCTCCTTCTCCCTAACTATTTTATGAAGCACGTATTAATTTATTTTACAGCCTTACAATTTCTGCAGATGGTTATCAATTTAGACCCGACTTCCTGTAATGAGCGAAAACATACCAACATTATTAGCGCAGTGGCAGATTGGCTCAATACTGCTCAGTGTTTGTCACATTATAACCCAGTCACCTGGTTTCACAGCAGTTATAGTAGTGTTGTGATCAAGAGGTTGTGAGTGTAATGTTTCAAGTGTAAAGCAATGTACAGTCGGCAGAGGGCGTGAGAGTGTGTGACTGCGTGAGAGTGAAATATCATAATGGGGACGAGAGAGCAATGGTGAGAAGCTAAAATAAAAATGCAACCTTTGATTGAATATGGCAGAAATAGCAAAACTTGAATTAAAACCAGTGATTGCAAAACAAAGGTCAAGCCTTTAAATACGACTATCGTGTACTAACAGCGCAACAAACCTCCTCCTTGATTGTCCACTGAGATCAATCACATTGGTGTCTGGATCAATAATGGGTATTGGTTGTTTTAAGGCCAAACCATTTCTGTGCTGTCACTTGGTCAGTGATGATTGCACAAGAATTGGAGTTGAGGAATTGAGGGCCAGATGGCTGGGGGAGGGGGTATTAGGGCGCGGCTTCCTGTTTCTAATTGGCTTTTGTTTGTGTTTGGTCAAGTCATCCACTGAGTCTATTGTCTCAATGGTGAGTTGTCACTCAATGAGGACACCCGGTGGTACCTGATGGACACTGCAGCACAAAGCCAACACCTTCACAAGAGGAAGTAAGAACATAGGAGGGGAAGGAAATATCTTACATTTGCATATTCAGATTAGTTTGGGCCAAGTTCAGGTGGATTAAACTAGAGAACATCCTATATTAAAGGGTGATTAACTGGAATAAAGAAAAAAGAGTTGACGTAAAATGGTGTTGATATCCCAGTAAAATGGTTTGACCCCATCACCCCACCCTCACCTGGCTCCACTGGCTCCCCATCCCTCAGAGGATAATGTTGAAAATCCTCATCCATGTCTTCAAGATCCTCCATGGCCTTGGTCCCCATAACCTCTGTGACCTGTTCCCTCAGCTCAGCCATCCTTTAGATCTCCATCCCACAATCCCTTTGCCTTGATCCCTCCCTTGCCTCCTGCAAGGCACATCTCAAGACCCTCCTCTTCGACTGCGCCTTCAGTCACCCTCCTACCCTCCCTGCCTCTACCCTTCCTGATCCCAACCCATGCTTGGGGTATCCCTGACTGTTCAGTACCTTGGAACGTGCTCCTGTGAAAGGCGCTATACAAATATAACTTTGTATTGTAAGTGTATAATTAACATACCAAGACCCTTAGCTCACAACATTCACTGGAATTTAAACACAGTTCATTTAAAATATAATATATATTAAACACACAAACTTACATTACTCAGTGAACAGGCAAACACACAATAATTATACTGTACTTTTTTTCCTAAGGTGCCCTAGAAGACCTACTAAATGTTCCGGTTCTAACTCATGAGTTTATTCTAATATTATTTAAACCCCCCAAATGAAACAGCTGATGAACTATGCATACAAAATCTGTAACAGTTTTTGTTGACAAACACTTTACATTCGCTATTTTCTTAAATACAATATGAAGAGATCAGCCCAACACATAGGCAACACATCACATTATTCTACAAGAAATGTATGTACAGTCAGACAAAGCTTTTAGTGTCAAATTCTCCTTAATTAAGATGCTGTAACTATTTCCCTCGTATTTTCTCCAACGTAGCTACTTTCTCCTTCAAAACTTCTTTTAAATGTTTGATCTTCTCATCACGCATGGTTTCATCTCCATTTGATGAAGTGATTGGATGCCAATTGTCAATGGTACCTTTCTCAGCTGTAGATCTTTGTGCAGCCGACAAACACATGGTTTTGGGTATGCTCTCTGTGGTGTGGCTGGATTTCCTTGTCTCGGTCGATTCACAAATGCATCTGTTTTCAGACACAGTAGTGTGTATCTCAGAGCCACCAGGAATACCTTGTAAAGCTTTTCCCGTGCTATGCCCTGCAAGATAGCTACCATCACACTCAGAAACCCCACTTCCAACCAAGCTTTGGGAAAACAAATTCCTCATTTTCAATGTACACTTGTTGCTTTCCTCTTTCCTCTTCACGGGTGATTTGGGTTTGATCTAAAATGAATACATGAGAATATTAGCAAATGCATTGAAGAGTCACATAGATAATGGATTGAATGTTTCTATCACATAACCGCTTGCCTTATAGTACCATAAGAATCGTAACATGCATTACGCGTTTATGCATTGACATAGGTGTTGTGATTCACCTACAATCTTAAAACCAAAACTACCCTGGAATTAGTTCATTAGTTAATGTTTTTTTTCTTTAATGAAATTGGTATTTTCAGATATTAGAGGTAACCCACAGAGTGAAGGGCTTGAGGGATTCTGAATTCTGACCATCTCTTCCAAACTACCTTCTATTTCCTCACATCAAACATTTTGTTTCAGCCATTTCAGTGCTAATCTCGAACAAAAACAAACGGAAGATATTTAAATGTTTGCCTTGTTTTGCCAAATTGTATTTATAAAAAAAGATTTTAGATACTGCAATTTCCCATTGGCATTTTGAAATATATATTTAACAGTGTCTGCGTAACAGTGTCTAGAGATCAGACCATTTAAGCAGGTGATCACAATGTGGGAGATTTTATTTGGCCTATTCTAGCACTGAGGCCAATTAAGTGAGAAGTTTAAAAAGGATTTCCAACATCGAATCTCCTCCTCCCAACTATTGGCACGGGGATACATACATTTGGCAAAGTAATCCAAGGGGCAGGGTCTTATTCAGACAGGATGTCCTACTGGTCTGATTGGCCACTTTCAGGATCACGTTCTTGAAATGAAATCCACTTTCACTTGGATTTTTGAAATGAACTGTCATTGACTTCCAAAATCAGCTGACCTGATGCCCACTTTCTGTCACCCTCTTTCTCTGGATGTCACCAAGTACTAAGGTGACAATCAAGGATTTGAGATGTAGTTTCAAGTCAGATGTGTAGTCTGATCTCAGTGTTCTAGGAGGCTTATCTATATCCAATAAATCAGCCCAAATTGCATTTCAATTTGGCAATCTGATAACATCTGATCAAGACTGCGTAGCTACCTAAATGTCCTCTATGTCGGGCAACATTTTTGGATGATAAGCTTCAGGAAGGCTTCACAGAGCGGTCAATAGTAAGATTGATTGGATAGGATGGCTGTGAATATAGATTTAGCTTCAGATTTTCCATCATCTGATGGTTGCTTTTAAATACACAAAACCGGTTTCTAGAAGAGGTCAGTGGTTGCTTATCAGCTGTTTGTCAAGTGATTATTCAGATTCACTTAGGCTGTAGGAGGCTGCGCTTCCTGTCAGCATCACTTCCGGAATGGACTAGTTGGGCCAAATGGCCTGTTTCCATGCCCTATCGTTCAATGTAACATCCAATATATTGTGTTTGCCTGAAGCCTTTTTCAGTTCAAGGTCCTACATTTATTGTTTAGTCTCAATGTTTCCCAGATATCTTACGGTCACTGAAGTAGTGATACAGGATCAACACCTACCCTTCTTGAGATAACAGTTCATTCTCTGAAGAGATTTAGCCCACAAAATTTCAATCAAGAAATCTCAAGCTACCTTTCTTTTCTCAGCAATAATGTACTCTAAGCATATTATTTATATTTTCACCCACCAAGCTTCAGCTTTAGATATGATGAGTGGTAATTATAGCTACTTGTTTCCAGCAATACGTGTAGAATGACAAGTTCTATCACACTTGTAGGACCGATGACTGCAAGTGCAGCTTCTTTGTATTTCCAGAGATGGACAAACAGTGGAAATGCTTTGATGTTCAACTGATATACTGAATACATTTGAATCAGGTTGGTTGTCTTTTTTTCCCCCTGTAAAGTTTTGAGTAGCTAGAAATGCTGAATGCAGTCTAGTTTCTTTGAAAAGAGATGGTGTAAGAATAAAATCTATTCCATTTAGGACCAACAGAAAATTGCCTTCATGCTAACAAATTGGAGCACACTTGTTGGCGAATTTAGTTCTGAAGCAGACGTTCAAAAGATCTAGACAGAATATTCATGGAATTTCATAATACTGAGCTTAAGTAATAGATACTTATAGCTTCAGCAATGGAGAATATCAAAATATGTGAAAGATGTTAAATGACGAATGATTAGGATCATTCTTGGGGAGGATGGAGGAAAAAGGCCTGGTAACATGCTTCTAAGACCATAAAAGCATAGTAAGAATTACTAGGCAAAACAAGATCAAGGTTCACCTTCAACCAAACTGGCAGTAGCTTGATGGATCATGTCCCAAAGCTGTATCCAGAGATACAAACTATTATTTTCTAGCAGAATTCTATCTAATTTGTTCTTAAAACAAATGACATTTTCTGCTTCCACCGTCTCCCGACGAAGCCTTTTCGCTGGTTTCTTGTAACCATGAGTGCTTGAAACATTGGTATTTTTTCTTATAGCACACAGAACCATATGTGCAATAGATCACAAACTGAGGTATAGAACATTCACTGTTGCTAAAGTGAGATCAACAAGGAAACAAATATTCAACAGTCAGATGTGCAATATTGAGCAGATGAACTTGATGGCGATCTCACTATACATTCTATTTCTCAAAGCAATTATTCTACATTCCAAGGCATTTGTTTCCTCTTATTGCAGTCCTTCTTTGGAGAGATGATTTGCTTCTGTTGAAGCTTAAAATTGAGTTAAGATTCAGCACTAACAAGGTCTCAAATTAGCTTTATGGACACACTAGAGGATGTTCACACAAAAGTCACAGGTGAAACATAACTGTCAAAAACATTCAAGCTTACGAGCAGAAGATTTGGTGATTTTTTGCCAGAGTTCATAAGTACTGGTCCTATTTTTCCACTTGCGCTGAATAAGTCTGTCTGGTCAAACCAGATTAATCCTCTTCATTTAGTTCTGAAATAATGGAAATCTTTTTTCTGACCCAGTCAAGGAGAACCATTTTGTAGCCTTTGAAACAAGTTATTCCAGCATTTCTCCTAGTTAACTTTTTCTTGAAAAATAGAACTTCTCAAAGAGGCTAAAAAAATGTCAGAGTTGAGAAATTCTGCTCCTATATACATCAAACAATTCTAACAATGTGGGATATTCACACTTAATAGCAATTGGAATTTCACCATTATCTTTAGAAGACAGCAAACAACAACTTGCATTTATATAACGCCTTCACGCAGGGTAACGTTCCAGAGCACCCCCCCTTCCCAAGCAGGGGGAAGTGACCTCGGTTGAAGAGGAAGGTCTTCAGCCGCGATCTGAAGATGGGGAAAGAGCAAGGCGGAGGGATAGTGTTCTTGAGTTTTGGGACAGAGTGGCTGAAAGACTTGCCAAACTAATCATTGAGGGGAGTAATGAAAAAGCAGTTTATTATAATGCTCAAATCCCATCAGCGTCTCCAGTTTCTGTGACATATGAATTGAAAGAAAAATATGGACTTATTCCATTTATACTGAAACAGTGCAGTACTGCACTTTCACAAGATCTTTACACAATACTGGAGGGGGCAAACAAGTCAGGAAAGAATATTTTTAAAAAGTAAATGATCGATAGCAAATTTCCTTTCTTGAGCTTCTGCAATTTGTGAATTACTGAGTGCAGCAAAATAATTTAGGAGTAGGTTTTGCATCTTTAAAACCTGTCAAATCAAAACACTTCAAATCATCATTGGAAATCAAAATTGCAGATATAGAAAAAATATAACAATGATTTGCCAAATGCCACCTCCCCTAAGTGCAGAACCTTCTATGCTAGAAATCCTTTGAAGGGTAAGAGGATATCCAACTGTTTACTAATCTGATGTGAAGGAAGTGAACAATTTAAACAGAAGGGATCTGTTGTAAAACATTCGCAGAATAAAAGTGAGGGTCAATGCATTGATACAATAAATGAGTTAAGGCAGGGGAATTAAGAAACATTGAAATTTTAATTGAAATAAGCAGTGCTAATAAAGTTCGACATAACTCATAGGGCAAGAGTTGATGTCTATTTGCCAATGACAAGGTCCCAATAGAAACTGTGTAAGAGATGGGAAAGTTAAACTTCCTAGATTCATTCTTAAAGGTAGGAAATAACAGTATTTTTATTCATCATGGGGAGGTGAACATTTACTTTTATAATTTCCTATGTATGTTAGATTAAGTTCAGTTGAGTGTTCTTAAAACGAGAAAATGTATAACATTAAACATTCTACCGTGATGAACAAGATAGATCAATGAAAAATCTACAGAATACGATCTGATATAGCTGATCCAACAAATCTAGCCCATTATCTAATAAACTTCCCAGGAATTTAGACACTAGAACTAAAGATTCAATGTATACACTTGTACTTACAAATCTTACTTAAACCAAAACAACCTACTTTTATTGTACTCTTTCCTTACAATGTAGAATACAAGGGAAGGTCTGCCATCTATTCAAATTATATATGTTCACTGTAATTTAAATTGACAAAACATTTTAAATCGATAATATTAACTATTCAACCAGGCATACAAATATTTAGCATCTGAACAGAAATAACATTTCAAATGATAACTTTGGTAATCCAAAAACCTAAAGAAACTCAGATCTCACAAAATGGCACAACATCTCATTTTCCTACTGTTAGTAGGAAACTAATAAAATTGATAAGAAAACATTATATTAAGGTGCCGGAACCATTTTTCGTCTGATTTTCTCCAGCGCTGCTTCTTTCTCCTTCAGAATTTCCTTTAGCCGTCTGATTCTCTCATCACGCAGAGTCTCACTTTCACAGAAGGGAACTGAACGGTAACTAGTTTCTGCATTTATCTCAGCAGCAGCCGCATGTACCATGGAGAGGCCAGAGGTGCTGGGAACACAATCAGCCACAATGTTGAAATTCGTTGTATGAGAGGATTTCATCATGGATCTCTCTTCTAAAGTACATTTCAGCAAGCTGGTCATTGGTATATGAGTGGACTGAAATCTGATATGCAATGTTTTTCTTGCGCTAAATGCTTGAGGATCAGTGTAACCATGCTCCAAATCTTGGTTTGCAATGAATTGCTTAACTTTCAGTGGGCTCTTGTCACTTGTTCGTTTTCTTTTCAAGGGAGATTTGGGCTCAAGTTTGATCTGGATGTAATAAAGAGAATTATAAAATTAGCAGAAAATCAAATGTGAATTGAGGCTGTCCTTTTAAGTAAATGTAGGCTGTCCTTTTAAGTAAATTTACAAGTAAATGTAAGTACAGCTGAGACCATAATGTACACATGATTTAATTTCAGAGTATCTTCAATTAATCTTTGAAGCTTCTGCTATTACAGCCAGACATTAGTTGACAATTTGTAACATGTAATGAGCTGAAGTACTAAGACATCTACTCAAATGCTTCATTTGGACTCAAAGGGTCCATTTCCACATGTATGCGGATGACAACTCTATCGTTCTGCCTTCACCCCCGACTCCAGGACCACTGCTGTCCTGACAGAATGTCTGTCAGACATCAAGTCCTGAACGAGAGTGAACTTTCTACAGTTCAACAAGACCGAGGCTCTCCTGATTGGCTCCCATTAGCGCCTCCACACCTCAGGCACTGACAGCATCACTCACCATCCATGAACGCACACTCCACTTTGCTAAGCCAGTCGGGAACTTTGGTGTCTTGCTTGACCCTCAACTATCCATCCGTGCCACGACTCACTCTACATTCCCCCACCTCTGCAACATCGTCCAGCTCTGCCACTGTCTCACACCACAGGCAACCAAAACTGTCCTACGTGCATTCATAATATACAGGCTTGCAAACTCCCGGCTTGTCGACCTCCCCAACTCGTCCCTCCATAGGCTGCAGATTATCCAGAACTCTGCAGCCCGTGTCCTCTCCTGCACCAGGCTCAGCGATCCTGTCACCGCCATCTTCGCACAAAGGATACAGTTCAAGATTCTGGTCCTCACCTTCAAAGCCCTCCATGGTCTTGCTCTTCCCTACCTCTGCGACCTGCTAACTCCCTACCACTCCATTCACTCAGCGAGCTCCAGGCTGCTTAATGTCCCTGCCTCGCCTGCCCCACTTTGTCAGGTGGGCCTTCTGCCACTCTGTCCCCACCCTTTGGAACTCCATCCCACAGTCCCACTGCCTCGGCCCCTCCCTTGCCTCCTTCAAGACCCGTCTCAGGACCCTCCTTTTCGACCGTGCCTTCGGTCACCCTCCTTCCCCACTTGCCTCCACCCTCCCTGATCCCGACCTCCAGCCTGGGTCCAAACCACTAACTGTCCAGCGCCTTGGGACATCCTCCCGATGTGAAAGGTGTTGTACAATTGTAATTTTATTGTTCTTGTTGAATGCAGCATTTTATTTCAACATGGCAGTCAAAAGTTGAAAATCCAAGAATTTTATCCAAATCCTTGTGCCTGGTATAGAATCACTGGATAGGGTTCATAAAAATAATGAAACACTTGAAATAGAGTTTACATCTGTATTTTTATGTTGTCCATCCATTATGCCCTCTTCCCCACCAACAATAGCCAAGCTTTTAGCCACTCTAGCACTATTCTTTGAAACTCCCTCCCAAAACCCTTCCAATTTGCACAATCTCTTCTAAAGATGATCTTTTCCAGCCTCCAGTTACCTTTCTCCCAACCCATTTTTCCCCACTTCCTTCTTCCCACCTTGCTTGGTATCCAACCCAGTCCGTATAAAGTGCTTCCAAACATTCTACAATATGGGAAATATAGTAGCAGTGAAATGTCTTTAGTATTGCTGTAATGAGGGAAATTACTCCAGGAATAAGACTGAATATTTGGTTACTGCATCTAAAGTCGGGTGGATAGAGGAATTCATATTCATTTCATTTTAGCTAACCAACGGCAACTTTTTTTAAAAAACAAAATGAAAATAACAAAGAGAAGTTCTACCTCTACTTTCTTTTCCTTCTCCAAGCAAGCCTGTAACACTGTAGAATGCTCGGTTTTGATACTTATTGCCCGTTTCAGATCAACTTGTGTCTGTTTATCATTTACAGCAGACAGTAGCTCTGGTTCAATTTTTATGTTGTGCTGAAACTTGTTTTCCATCCCCATGTTCTCTGCAGGGTGAGGAGTCATCTGCAGTGGCTCTGCCCAAGCAGTGGACTGAGTCTTTAACTGTTCAAAATATTTCATAGATACTCTGGTTAGACAGATTCTAACGTTTGTATGAATTCCAGCTTTCATAAGCAATTCAGCATCTGTCATTGTTGGTTCAGGCACAGAGGTACCAGACATCTCCCCTGTATGCTGATGGGGGTGGGGGGTGGGGACAAAAAAAGAGAAGGGAAGACAACAAGTTTAAGAAAATTCCACAAATATCCTGATTCTGAATTAATAAAGTTAGAAAATAAAAGGCATGTGCAATTGGAGAACAGTCTTGTAAATTGTGGTGGTAAGTTAAAACAGTAAAATATAGTATGTTCTAATACAAGACACTCAATAGCAAAGCTATCATACAAAATTATTTTCTAACAGTACCCTCAAAATGTTTACTGTGTAAAACCAGTAATAAAAAGCACAGGACTTTTAAAACAAATGTTATTGCATTACAGAATGAGTAAAAGTATTAGAAAATACTTCACTGCATGTTTCACAAGAATATAGTGGTTGTAAAATCAGAATGAAATATTACAAACTATGGGAAAACCAGGGAACAATAGTTGAAAATACAGTACACACATCAAGCGCCACTGCCTGGTTGGGCGGGATTACAAAGCAAATCATAAAGAGGGAAAAAAGGCATTTAAGCCCACAAAGGAAAATGGTACAGAATGAATTCAGATTCAATAGAGGAGGCATGTCAGGATTGCAAAAAAGGCATCAGAATGGCAAAGAAAAGCTTTGAATTGAAAATGGCAAGAGATGTGAAGGATAATAACAAAAATGACAAATAATGCTGCACAGGTTGCAATTGTGCTAAATACGTTTTTTGCATCAGTGTTCACCAAGGAGGAGACCTATCGAATCTGGAAAGAGCACTCAAGGATGTTGCAGAGAAAAGTTGCGGCACTATTCATATCACTACCAGCATGGTTGCCAAACAAACGTTCAAACTTAAGCTAAATAAATATGATGGGCTGGATAAATTGCATCCGAGGATCCTTAAGGAACCATGGGAGGAAGTTGCAGGAACGCGGGCACAAATCTTTCAAAAATCACTGAGTACTGGAGAGGTGCCAGGGGACTGTCTTATTTTCAAGACAGATAACAAAAGTGACCCAGGAAACTACAGACTACTGTCCATTGAGGTAAAATTATGGAGACTTTTATTAAGGATAAAATCATGGAGTATCTGGACAGAAATAAAATCATAAATGATAGCCAATGTGGGTTCATAAAGGGGAGGTCATGGCAATCTAATTTACTGGTTTTCGTTGACGGTATGACAGGGGAGTTTGATAAGAATAAGGCTGTGGATGTATATCTGGATTTCAGTAAGGCCTTTGATATAGTTCCTCTTGAGAGGCTGGTGCTGAAACTAAAGAAAGCAGGAGGTATATAATTCAATGGATACACAACTGGTTGACCGGAAGAACCCAGAGGGTTGATGGTACAGGGAATGTCCTCAGACTGGGAAAATGTTACCACTGGAGATCCATAAGGGTCTGTTTTGGGAGCTCTTTCGTTTAATACTTTCATAAATGATCTGGAACTAGGAGTCACAAACACAGTGGCTAAGTTTGCAGATGACACCAAGCTGATGAAGGTGATAGATTGCGAAGCTGAACAAGCTGGAGAAACTATTTTCACTGGCGGTTGGATCGGTAACCTGAGGACACCGATTTAAAATAGTTGTTAGAGGGGAGGTGAGGAGAAATTTTTCACAGCGAGTTGTTTTGATCTGGAATGCATTGCCTGAAAGGGTGGTGGATGCCAATTCAATACCAACTTTTAAGAAAGAAGTAGATAAATATTTGATATAAGATGACTTGCTCTGTCAAAGAGCCGGCACAGACTCGATGGGTCGAATGGCCTCCTTCTGTGCCGGAACATTCTACGAATCAATGAAAAAAATAGTTGGGGAGGACAAGTTTGCAGCGCTATGGGGAGGAGAATGGGACAGTGGGATTCAATTGGATAGCTCTTTTCAAAGAGCTGGCACAGAAAAGATGGGCCGAATGGCCTCCTTCGGTGCTGTGTAATTCTATGAAGATAAGTTACAGGAGGATTTGAACATAATTGTGAATTGGGCAGATTGGTGGCAGATGAAATTCAATGTAGAGAAATGTAAAGTACGGGGGGACAAAAATCCTGGAAGGGACTATTATTTGAACATAAGGAAAATAATATGTATCGAAAATGAAAGGACCTGGGAGTCCTTCTTGACAATAAACTGAAGCTCTCCCAACAATGCTCTGCGGCTGTAAGTAAAGCAAACCAGATTTGAAATGTGTATCAAAAGATCAATAGCAAGCCAAAATAGTGGGGTAATTCTGCCACATGATAAATCATTGGTGAGACCGTACTTAGAGACTGTGTACAGGTCTGGTCACTGCAGTACAAAAAGGATATTGGAGAAATAGAGAAGATACAGAGGAGGGCAACCAAAATGATTGAGGGAATGGAGGGACTGGACTCTGAGGAGCGACTGAGTAAATTGGTCACATTTCGAGAAGATCGAAAGGCGACATGATTGCTGTCTTTAAGATTCTAAAAGGGCAAAACAATATAGATCATGACGGGCTGTTTCAACTTGTCCAGAATAGTAGAACCAGAGGCCATGGCCTGCAATTCAGAACAGGATGTAAATTCAGAACAAATCTACACAGATACTATTTCAGTGAGTGAATAGTGAACCTGTGGAACAGACTCCTTAGGGAGACGGAAGAAACAGATTAGATAGTTTTCTTTTAGGAAATAGCATTATGGGTTACAGTATATAGGTAGTTCGGGACATATGTATATGCGACTGCCAGGAAGGTGGAATGCGAACTAGATGGACCTTGGTCTTTTTCGTATAGCGTTTCTTAGGTTCTTAAACCTTTCGTGGATACAAAAACGTTGACTCACTTTCCTTTCTCCATAGATGCTGCCTGACCTGCTGATTGTTCCCAGCAACTTCTGTTTTTGTTTCAGATTTCCAGCATCTGCAGAATTTTGTGTTTCGTAAAAGTAATAGATGCTTTTCAATTGAACTACTATTCTCATCCTTATAGGATGAAGGTTTATCTTCATAGTTTTATTATATATGGTTTGTATCTTCTATACAAATCCTATATAATAGGGCATAGGTCAACGTTGAGGCAATTAACTGCACTGTGTAGAGTCCTGTAGCTCAGGGATTAGAGCATTCGCCTCACAATTAGGGATTAGGGCATTCGCCTCACTTGATCGTAGAAAACTACGATCACGTAAAGCCTAAATTTATATTACTTTATCACAGAATAGTGTCAAACATACATAGGAATCTTCTCGTTAAACACAGTTTCCCATAAGCAATCAATAATTCTTTAAAAGAAAATCTGAATAGGAAAAAGTTGAAAGGGATAGTTGGCAATCCTCACAAACAAACAACTTACTTATAACAACAACTTGTTAACAAATGCAAGGATTATTATAACAAAAACTTGCATTTATATAGCGCCCTTCACGCGGGGTAGCGTCCCAGAACTCTTATAATAATAATCCATGCATTTGATATAGCGCCTTATCACATCTTCGAGATGTCTCAAAGTGCTTCACAGAATATATTGTAAAGCGAATTAACTGTATATTTATTAGTCAAACCATGTTGAATTTAAAATAATTTAATTCAAACCTTTTAATTGTTGAATTATAATTTATTTTTGGATAGTTTCTTTCCACATAACTATTGCAACTTGGAACAGTTTTGCAAACCTTACCTTGTGCGTAGCGATTGATTTGTTCCAAGCACTGTGGTGTTTGGTGATATTTTCAACGGTGGCTGCAGTTCTATCATGGTCATTGTCTGTTTTTTTTATTTTAGCTATTAAATCAGCTTGGTCTGAATGTCCAATGCTAGGATTGTGTGTTCCTGACTTAGTAAGCAAAGTTGCAGGTTCATTGTCTTTCTGGATAACCAAGTAGAGTTTATCATTGTACATAACAAGGGCATTCTCTTTACATCCTATTATGTTGGTATTGATTTCTGTGGAAGCTGTTGTGGATGGAGGTAACCAATTTGTACTCTCAGCATGCTGTTGCTCAGCCAAGCTCTTTAAAATCTTCGAGGCCAAGTTATTTGAGGATTTGACAGGAATAAGGTAGTGAGCCAATGACTGTGGATTCTCCTTCACAATCCATTTCATTGGAGCATCCCGGAACTGGGATTGCTCAGTTGAAACAACTGATGCAGCACTGACAATGACAGGAGGTGTTGCCGAGCCTTGACCATGTTTGCTAGAAGAGTTTATGGTGGTGGCAATGGATTCTGGGTTTGCAACCTGCACAATAGTCTTGGGGCGAATGGTTGGAAGACGTTTCTGTACTGTCTTCACAGTGTTCACTGGGGAAACATAAATAACTGTTGCAGATTCTTTTGTAGACTCCTTCGAGCTAGACAAGATCGATGCTGCAGTACCTTGTATTTTCTGCTGTAAAGCAAGTGGTAGAGAAGATGCTGGAACAGATTTGACTTCTGCATTTTCAGGAATCTGAAGATGATGACCAGATGGCAACATTGGAGACTTTACAAGCATATATAATTTTTGGTTTACATTGATAGTAGAAGATATTTGGGATTTCTGTGCAGGTGAAACAGAAGCAACTGCTGAGGGGGTAGAATAACATTGTACAGGTACAGGTGTTGCAGGTGAACTGTAGGTAGATATCCCAGTACACCTAGCCGATCCTTCAAGTGGCGATAAGAAAAAGCTTCCCGAATTGGTGTCCTGGAACACTGGCAAACATGGGGAATTGCTAGCGGTTATTTGAGGTTGTGCTGAGACATGGATTAGAGTTGAAATATTTACTTTGGAAGGGTCGTTGTTGGTAGAAACTGGAAGATTAGGGAGAAGATTGCCAGAGGCGTTGGAAAGTGGAATAAGCTTCAGAAGATTTTTCCCATCTGGACCTATCATCTGGAAAATCCGATATATGCATCCTGCAACACTAAAAGATAGTTAAAGATTTAATTATCTTGCAGAGGGAAGACAATTTATATAACAATATTACTCAACATCACTTGAAGAATCATCACCAACAACACAGTTGTATCACCAACCTTGCCTAATTCATAATATTCTGCAAATGTTACTTATATAATCCCCTATTGTATCTATCAATGACATGACAAGAATGATAAGAAAAAATAAACCTAAAAAAATTTCAAGCAAATACATCTCTAAACGCACAGTGCTTTTCAATATGTGTTTGAGCTACATTGTGATCCTTCTTACCCCTGCAAGGATTCTAATTACCAAACAATGGCTCAATACCTTTCTCTAGCAATAGATGAAGACTCTCTGCAGAAAAACAAAGGTCTCAGAACTAATTTTACCTGATAAGAACATAAGAATTAGGAGCAGGAGTAGGCCATTCGGCCCCTTGAGCTGCCCCGCCATTCAAGGACTGAGCATCTACAGCCTTCTGGGGTAGTGGATTCCATAAGTTCACTGCCCTCTGAGTGAAGAAATGTTTCCTCAACTCTGTTCTAAAAGGCTAACCCTTAATTTTCAGACTGTGACCCGTGGTTATAGATTCTCCTACCGGGGAAACAGACCCTCAGTGTCTACTTTATCAGCCCTTTAAGAATCTTATATGTTTCAATAAGATCTCCCCTAATTCTTCTGTACTCTATAGAGAATACAGCACTAGTTTATTCAGCCTCTCCTCATAGGTCAGTCCCCTCATCCCAGGAACTAACTGAGTGAATCTACGCTGCACCCCCTCGAGGGCAAGTATGTCCTTTTTTAAATAAGGAAACCAAAACTGCACACAATACTCTCGGTGCGGTCTCACCAAAGCCCTATACAGTTGCAGCGAGACTTCCCTACTCTTGTACTCTAAACCTTTTGCAATGAACGCTAACTGCCGTTCGCCTTCTTAGTTGCTGCTGCACCTGCAAACTAACTTTTTGAGACTGGTGTACAAGGACACCCAAATCCCTCTGAACACTAACACTATCTAATCTCTCCCCCTCTAGAAAATAATCTGTTTTTCTATTTTTTCTACCTCGGTGAATAACTTCACACTTCCCCACATTAAATTCCATCTGCCACCTACTCGCCCACTCCCCTCGCCTGTCTATATCCGATTGCAATCTTTTTGCATCATCCTCAGAGCTCACTCTCCCACCGAGTTTAGTGTCATCCGTGAATTTAGATACGTTACATTCAATGTCCTCGTCTGGATCATTGATGTAATTTGTAAATAGCTGAGGCCCGAGCACTGATCCTTGTGGCACTCCACTAGTCACCTCCTGCCAATTCGAGAATGACCCGTTTATCCCTACTCTCTGTTTTCTACCCGTTAGCCACTCTTCAATCTATGCTAATATGTTCCCATTAATCCCGTGGGCCTTAACCTTGTGCAATAGCCTTTTGTGTGGCACTTTGTCAAATGCCTTCTTAAAATCTAAATATATTACATTTACTGGTTCCCCCCTATCTAACCTGCAGATACATCTTCAAAAAACTCTAAAACATTAGTTAAGCATGACTTCAATTGTGTAAAGCCGTGTTGACTCCGCCTAATCTTGTTATGGTCTTCCAGGAATCCCATAACGACATCAACAACAACAACAACAAGATTCCATTTATAAAGCGCCTTTCACGTCAGGAGGACGTCCCAAGGCGCTGCACAGTTGGGTCATGACCCGAGCAGGGGGGAAATGGTCAGGGTGAGGGGAGGGAAGGGAGGGAGCGAGGAGGGGGGAAATGGTGAGGGGAGGGAAGGGAGGGAGCGAGGAGGGGGGAAATGGTCAGGGTGAGGGGAGGGAAGGGAGGGAGCGAGGAGGGGGAAGAGAGTCGAGAGGAGAGCTGAAGGCTGAAGGTCAAAGAGAAAGGTTTTGAGACCGGCCTTGAAGGAGGAAAGGGAGGAAGCGGCGAAGGCACTGGGGGATGGAGTTCCAGAGCCTCGGGGCTGAGAGGCTGAAGGCCCGACCACCGATGGTAGGGCGGTTGGGGCGGGGGATGTGGAGCAGACCGGAGCCAGAGGAACGGAGGGTACGGGCAGGTAGGTAGGGGGATAGTAGGTTGGAGAGGTAGGAGGGAGCGAGGCCGTGAATGGCCTTGTAGGTGAGGATGAGGATCTTGAAATCAATCCTCTGGGGGATGGGGAGCCAATGGAGGCGAGCGAGGGTGGGAGTAATCTTTAATTAAGGACTCAAGAATTTTCCCTCCCACTGATGTCAGACTAACTGGTCTGTAGTTCCCTATCTTTTCTCTCCCACTCTTCTTAAATAGTGGTGTTACGTTTGCAATCTTCCAATCAATGGGAACCGTTCCAGAATCCAGAGAATTTTGGAAGATCAAAGACAAGCCATCCACTATCTCAGTAGCCCCCTCTTTATAAACCCTCGGATGTAGGCCATCAGGTCCAGGAGATTTATCAGTTTTAAGACCTGACAATTTACCTAAAACCATTTCTTTAATATTAATTCCCCTAAGTTGCTCGCTAGTATTTTCTTCTTAGTTACCCTCTATTCTTGGTAGGTATGATGAATCATAAAGCAAAGTATTCTTCAATACTATTGTAAGAATACTATTGGCTAAGATAGGAGCAAAGCCACTATAAAGAATCAATGCATATGATAGATTATACAGGCTTTCACTAGCATTGGTAAAATTTGTTTTTTTGTAGATTAATTTCATGAATGTGCATACATTTGCTGATCGGTGTAATTTGTCTCTATGGTCCCCCTAATTCATTATCAGTTGTACCCAGCATGAGGTAACACAGACAGGGTCCTTATCAGGCTGGAGCAGTTGGCAGCTCTGGGTCAGAAATGTAGGAGGTTCAATGCCTTGGTCAGGGTCTAACTCATTGTGACAACCCATAAATGTGACATCAAGTGGACATAAAAGATCTCATGACACTTCAGAAGAGTGGGAGTTTCTCCCAATGTCCAGGCCAACAATCCTCCAGATACATTGGTCTGTCACCTTATAGCTGTTTAAAGGGAATGTGTGTAAAATGACTGTCATGTTGGCAACTGCATTAATTATATTGACTGAGTAGTTACTATGAAATACAGATCTTTAGGATCCCTGTAATCGGACCCTATAAAAATACTTCTTTCTTCACCTGGTGGCAGAGAAGCCGAGCTGTAGGGATTAAGAAATTAAGCCAAGCCTCACTGAAACATTTTTATGAGGGGGGCCATGAGTGCGCCACATTCCCCACATAGCCAACAGAAGCTGTGAATCGCTTCAAAAGTTTAACATTCAGTGCATTTTTTTTAAAAAAGGGAAGACTCCCAAAACAACTGTGATTACTCTAAGAACAAAAATATGTTGTTTTCACTCCTATAACAAAATATATAATCCTGGTGTGCACTTTTGGAGCGCCTTTCACTTCGCAACGTATTGCTGCGCTTCACAGAATACACTAAAGTTAATCAATTTTGCCACCGAAATGTGGCAGCCGATTGCGCGCAGCAGTGAGTGTCACACAAACAGCCGTCGATTGAAGCCCAATTTTATTATCAGTTTGTTTTTCTTGAGGGATTATTATCAGCCGTGTACACGTGTGTGTGTGTGTGTGTGTGTGTGAGTAAGGAAACTCGGCCTCGGTTTCGCCCCGTGACCTGTGGGGAATCTAACCCAGGTCCTCTCTCTGGTTTGCCAGGCGAGTGCTCTTAATCACTGAGCTACAGGGGCTCAGCCACAGAGTATACTGTAAGGTGTAGTGACTGTGTTTGTGGAAACAGCAGGATAATGATGTCACCAGCCCCCGTGTGCGGATAGGTATTATCCTGCCTTTCCAGGTGGCTGTTGCGGATGGTTTTCTTTCTAATTCGCTTGTTTGCCGCCGCACAGATCCCCGACCAACACAGCACTGAAAGCCCGGGGGGGGGGGGGGGGTCGCCATTGCCTGCCCGGCCTGCGCTGAGGCCGGTCCCGCCGGTGTGAGGCCGAGGCCGGGGCCGGGCCCTCCCTGACTGACTCCCCGCCTCCCGCCGCCGCCCCGCTCGCCCCTCACCTGACGGCTTTCAAACGCCAACCGTCTGACCGCGCGCGGCGCCGCCCTGCACGTCAATCAGCGCCAGGCCCCGCCCCCCGCGCGCACACACACCCGCGTGCAAACACCCCCCACCCACAGTGCAAACACCCCCCACCCACAGTGCACACACCCCCCCACCCACAGTGCACACACCCCCCACCCACAGTGCACACACCCCCCACCCACAGTGCACACACCCCCACCCACAGTGCAAACACCCCCCACCCACAGTGCACACACCCCCCACCCACAGTGCAACACCCCCACCCACAGTGCAACACCCCCCACCCACAGTGCACACACCCCCCACCCACAGTGCAACACCCCCCACCCACAGTGCACACACCCCCCACCCACAGTGCAACACCCCCCCCCACACCCCCCACCCACAGTGCACACACCCCCCCACCCACAGTGCACACCCCCCACCCACAGTGCACACACCCCCCACCCACAGTGCACACCCCCCACCCACAGTGCAAACACCCCCCACCCACAGTGCACACACCCCCACCCACAGTGCACACACCCCCCACCCACAGTGCACACACCCCCACCCACAGTGCACACACCCCCCACCCACAGTGCACACACCCCCCACCCACAGTGCAACACCCCCCACCCACAGTGCAAACACCCCCCACCCACAGTGCAAACACCCCCCACCCACAGTGCAACACCCCCCACCCACAGTGCACACACCCCCACCCACAGTGCACACCCCCCACCCACAGTGCACACACCCCCACCCACAGTGCAAACACCCCCCACCCACAGTGCACACACCCCCCCACCCACAGTGCACACACCCCCCACCCACAGTGCACACACCCCCCACCCACAGTGCACACACCCCCACCCACAGTGCACACACTCCCCACCCACAGTGCACACACCCCCCCACCCACAGTGCAAACACCCCCCACCCACAGTGCACACACTCCCCACCCACAGTGCACACACTCCCCACCCACAGTGCAAACACCCCCCACCCACAGTGCACACACCCCCCACCCACAGTGCACACACCCCCCCACCCACAGTGCACACACCCCCCCACCCACAGTGCACACACCCCCCCACCCACAGTGCACACACCCCCCACCCACAGTGCACACACCCCCACCCACAGTGCACACACCCCCCCACCCACAGTGCACACACCCCCACCCAGTGCACACACCCCCCACCCACAGTGCACACAACCCCCACCCACAGTGCACACACCCCCCACCCACAGTGCACACACCCCCCACCCACAGTGCACACACCCCCCACCCACAGTGCACACACCCCCACCCGGCGTGCACACCCCCACCCGGCGTGCACACACCCCCCCACCCGGCGTGCACACACCCCCCACCCACAGTGCACACACCCCCCCACCCACAGTGCAAACACCCCCCACCCACAGTGCAAACACCCCCCACCCACAGTGCACACACCCCCCACCCACAGTGCACACACCCCCCACCCACAGTGCACACACCCCCCCACCCACAGTGCACACACCCCCCCACCCACAGTGCACACACCCCCCACCCACAGTGCACACAACCCCCCACCCACAGTGCACACAACCCCCCACCCACAGTGCACACAACCCCCCACCCACAGTGCACACAACCCCCCACCCACAGTGCACACACCCCCCCACCCACAGTGCACACACCCCCCACCCACAGTGCACACACACCCCCACCCGGCGTGCACACACCCCCCACCCGGCGTGCACACACCCCCCCACCCACAGTGCACACACCCCCCCACCCACAGTGCACACACCCCCCCACCCACAGTGCAAACACCCCCCACCCACAGTGCAAACACCCCCCACCCACAGTGCAACACCCCCCACCCACAGTGCACACACCCCCCACCCACAGTGCACACACCCCCCACCCACAGTGCACACACCCCCCACCCACAGTGCACACACCCCCCACCCACAGTGCACACACACCCCCACCCACAGTGCACACACCCCCACACAGTGCACACACCCACACAGTGCACACCCCCAACAGGAGTGCACACACCCCCCACCCACAGTGCACACACCCCCCCACCCACAGTGCACACACACCCCACCCACAGTGCACACACCCCCCACTCGCGTGCACACACCCCCACCCACAGTGCACACCCCCCCCACCCGGCGTGCACACCCCCCCCCCCCCACCGCGTGCACACACCCCCCACACCCACAGTGCACACACCCCCCACCCACAGTGCACACACCCCCCACCCACAGTGCACACACCCCCCACCCACAGTGCACACACCCCCACCCACAGTGCACACACCCCCACCCACAGTGCACACACCCCCCCCCCCACCCCCCCCACAGTGCACACACCCCCACCCACAGTGCACACACCCCCCACCCACAGTGCACACACCCCCCCCCCACCCCCCCCACCCACAGTGCACACCCCCCCCACAGTGCACACACCCCCACCCACAGTGCACACACCCCCCACCCACAGTGCAACACCCCCACCCACAGTGCAAACACCCCCCACCCACAGGGCACACCCCCCACCCACAGTGCACCACCCCCCACCCACAGTGCACACACCCCCCACCCACAGTGCACACACCCCCACCCACAGTGCACACACCCCCCACCCACAGTGCACACACCCCCCACCCACAGTGCACACACCCCCCACCCACAGTGCACACACACCCCCACTCGGCGTGCACACACTCCCCACCCACAGTGCACACCCCCCCCACCCGGCGTGCACACCCCCCCCCCCCCACCCGGCGTGCACACACCCCCCACACCCACAGTGCACACACCCCCCACCCACAGTGCACACACCCCCCCACCCACAGTGCACACACCCCCCACCCACAGTGCACACACCCCCACCCACAGTGCACACACCCCCACCCACAGTGCACACACCCCCACCCACAGTGCGCACACACCCCCACCCACAGTGCACACACACCCACACCCACAGTGCACACCCCCCCGCCCACAGTGCACACAGCCCCCACCCACAGTGCACACAGCCCCCACCCACAGTGCACACACCCCCCACCCACAGTGCACACACCCCCCCACCCACAGTGCACACACCCCCAACCCACAGTGCACACACCCCCCACCCACAGTGCAAACACCCCCCACCCACAGTGCAAACACCCCCACCCACAGTGCAAACACCCCCCACCCACAGGGCACACCCTGTGCAAAAACTCCCGTATCTGAAGGCAGACCCAGTCTACAGCGTTGAGTAAGACATAACATCTGAGAAACATACTGAAATGGCACGTTCTACACATTGCTTTTCCCCATTAACAGGTGATAATATGACCCTCATGTCTACATGTACTCCACTGACCTACCGTTTCAGAACTTTCAGAATTTGAGAAATTGTTTTAAGTCTTAGATTTGAAGCCAGATTTCTGTCATTCTTATATTAAATTTACGGAAAACCAGCTCCAGACTGTATGTAAGGAGTCCTGTAGCTCAGTGGTTAGAGGCCTCGCAGGCGAGAGGACCTGGGTTCGATTCCTGGGCAGGGCGAAATGTTGGTCAAGTTTTCTTACTCCACGCCCGTTTACCGAGCAGTAAGTAGGAACCTGGTTGTTAGTCGATTGGTGGATCGACTTTCACCCACAAAATATACAGTCAATTCACTTTACAGTATAATCTGTGAAGTGCTTTGAGACATCTCAAGGACATGATAAGGCGCAATATCAAATGCAAGATTATTAAGAATTTGCCAAATTCTAGACATCTGAAATGTTATCTTGATGGAGCAAATCTAGATATATTTGGAATTATATCCCCAAAGTACATACCTTCTTTCCCTAACTGCCTGTTGCTCACCACATCACAACCAAAATGGTTCCTCCATCTTTACAGCTTCTGCAAAAGTTTGGCTCTTTATCCCATTAATTGACCTAAAAAGTGCTCATCTTATTAACCTCCCAAACCTTCCACATCCATAGAATTCCGTAATCATCGATCTCACATTACCATTGGCGTTCCACACAGTCCTTAGTTCATCAGGATTTATAATCAAAGGCAATGATCCAGGAGAGTTCCGTTCCACTATTCCAATGACTGTCCAACTGCATATCACAATGATGTCCAACCACATTCACCTCAACATTCACTCACCACTTTTACTCGATTCACCTCCACAGCTTCTAGAAAAGTAGGGTTTGTCCGCTTCCACTTTACTTCCCCGTATTATCCATATTCTACATCATGTTCATCAAATTCACGAATCTTCTATTATGGTTCTCCAACCCACTCCAGTGCCGTTAGTTACATTACCGGGATGGCCCACTACCTCACGGTAATGTACTTGTATCGACACGATTCATTCCATTGCTCCACTTGAATATAGCCAAGTTATCAACCAATCCTCCATGGTCGTGCTTATTCTCCCAGGCAAATTTTCTCCAATAAAGTTATTCTACTGTCCTGCATCTTCTAATCCAACTGCGTTACTATATAACGTACCGCTAGGTATCTTCTACTCCTAATCATTCTCCCCAGTATTTACTCTCATATCACAATTCCTATTGATCCTTTACTTCGGATCCTCCAACCCACTTTTCAAGAGATCACCATCTCCATTACCTTCTTCTGTTGTAGCAAACGCAATGCGCCAAACGGATTCTACTTCAGGATTTAAAAGCTGGTCCTCGATCTCTGCCCCCGCAAAATGTTCACCAATTGCACTCACATGTCTCACAATGGGATCCAATTTAACTCATCTCCATAGGAAGTAATCTACCACCGTAACCAAGTTTGTAAACCCAAGAATGTCCTACTCATTAGCCTGAACATTAATGGTGGTTCTGCATGAAAGGCAACATTCAAAGCATTCCATCTCCCGAGCTTTCTTTTTACACAGCATTATGGTTCTCCAACCCACTACCCAAGAGCCTCAATGCAAGCAGACACTCTCATTCCAGGTTTATTGCCCCATAATAAGGGTTCATCTCTGAATCCCATCATACGCCATTTTCTCCAATGAGAAAATAATGGAGGATTTTC